GGCCGTAACCTTGTATAAGGGCGGAGAGGTAAATCTGCTCTGCAGTCGCACAGAGTGGAATTGGAAAGTTGTTCTGACGCGCTGAGGTCGTAATGATGCCCTGATAAGGTCAGTACGCGTGACAATGGCAGGGGCAGGTGCAACCTACAGCATCCTTCAAGATAATAGTCAGAGCACTTGCCCCAGGATTCCAATCTTCCTCCACCATCCGGGGAAAACGGTTCTCATGCATCCAGGTCCACGCTTCTGAGCTCTTTATCCGCTCTGCTGTATTCACTGCGTTCAGGCCCAGATGCGCCGCGAAACCCATAGCCTCGCTGGCACCCAAGATGTGGATGGCAGCCAGCACCTGATGTACCATCTTCATGTTACTGCCGGCTCCCACTCCTCCAGGGACAAGATAGAGCTTGCTTGGGGCAGACATAGTCTGCAGCAAATTGCGCGCAATTTGCAGCGCAGAGTCGGAACCACCCGCCATGATGGAGAGGGTGCCATCCGCGGCGCGCTTCGCACCTCCTGAGACTGGTGCATCAACAAAGTAAATATCTGATCGACCTCGAGAGGCGAGTTCTGCAGCGACAGATTGCGCATATGAGGCAGCGACGGTGGAGCAAAGGAGGAGGGTTGCATTTTGGGGGAGGTCTATTATGTTAGCTTGAGGGAGCCAATGGCTAGGGAGGTACATACATTGTACAACGCCCTCATGTCCGAAGAGGACGGTCTGCGCCTGTGGCGCCGATGCTACCATGCACACGTAGAAAGACTTTCCTTCAGCTGATTCACGCAGTGAGGAGGCGGGCGTGCCCCCCGCAGCTTGGAATCGCTGCACCGAGGCTGGAAAGACATCGTAGCCGTAAACAGGGTATCCTTCGTGGACAAGGTGGGTGGCCATGCCGAAGCCCATGGCCCCGAGGCCGACAAAGCCAATGGCTGGTTTAGACATCTTCAATTCCAATTATGTGCTTTAGCTTCTTGAGCTGTGATCTTTGTCGTGTGGACCGACACCATTTATGGAGGGGAAATGGGTCGCTGTGAAGTCCGAGGACGTGGGGGATACCGTGGGGGGTTCGGAGGTGGTCCGATCAACACAGTTGCTGGTGGACCCTGAACACTGCTAGTCGCATCACCTTTACACATGTCTCCTCCGAGCTTGGGACATCCTCCGAAACCCTTGCCCCGAGGGAAGGACCCCCGAATTGTTCTGACGCTCGGTCGGTCGTTGTTGAAGCCGATACTATGAGGTATCACGAGTTGATGATCGGCAGGTCCGTTGACAGTCCCGCCCACTTTCCGATCCATCGCTATTGTTGACGGTAAAATGATTCTGCTGATATCTATCATGCCATCATTAAAAGTAGACGGCAACAGCAGTAATTGTGGCTGTAGAACATTGCTCGCATGGGATGAAATTCATGGGTGCTTGGGCCAAGATTTCAACTTGAACCACAAGCATTATCCGCTAATAGCCTCCACGCATCGGTGAATTCAGGTAAGCTCTAAAAAGGTTTACGCTGTCTGTTCAGTTCTCGTTCAGGCTGCAATTTGTACAGAAACCGGGCTTGGAGTGTTCAGTAGACGGAAAGCAAGTGGCTTGCATAGCGACTAGAGTTGCGTAAGCGACCATCAGCATTCCAAACAGCGTGCAACATATAAGTGCCATACAACATGTTTTGGTTAGCTTTGGAGCTCAATTGTAAGAAGCAGCCGACCGGGGAGAGTAACATGACAATATGTTGGCAATTACCTCATCGCATGTGTAATTTGCTCACCTAGAGCTATGCCATCATGCAGGCGGATCTATTAACCCTCCTGTATCATTCTAGACATCGAAGTATTGAAAGAGAAGGGTTCGGAGGAAGCACAAAGACACGCAGGCAATATCAAGGCCGAAATTTGGCATCTCAATCTTGGGTAGAAACGTCAACGCAGAAATCGCAAAGACCAGTATTGATTATAGCGACCTAGGAATACTGGAAATACAGAGGTGGATAGAGGGATTCTGTTGAATCCTGTATCTTCCACACCATGATCTGAGATCAACCTTAACATTACGAGAAACCCCATACCACCTAATTTCACCATTAGATCAGGAAAACCAGAATGTGCAGAGACATCTCAGAATGATCAAGATTGAATGCCTACCTAGAATATCCCGTAGAGACCAAAAAGGCCTAAGAGTCCGAGCCAAAGAACATCATGAATGTATTAGAACAGCCCTTCGAGCATTTTATGAGGACATCCAACAGCAAACCAGACGCGCAACGCGCAGACTTCTACTGTAGAAGAGAGCTGGGCACGACTCATATAACCACGCAGGACCCGACCGGCCAGTGACGAACATCTGACCGAGTCGGCGAGATAAGTCCTGGCACGTTTTTCAGACTACCGTAGCTCTGGATACGGATGCACCCGGGAACGCGAGATTGCTCCGGCTGCTGGCCGGATGCCATGACATCTTCTGTGGCCTGGCTGTATGGGATCACGGTCGCAGTCAGCACAGGGTTTTTCGCTAGTCAGAATGAACAACTCGCATGCCTGACTAGACAAGGATATACTACATACCCCAGCAGGTCAATCCGAGTGAGTTTCGCCAAAGCATCGTCAACCGACCGGTGCCCTAAGGCATGGAAACGCGTCTCAGCGGAGTCAATTCGCTGGACCCCAGCAACGGTGTCCAAAGCAGCTGACCCGTCAAACTGTATATACAGTGGTGAACAGTTTCAGGAACAAATTCATCTTGTTTTCATTCAACCGGAGGAGTGAGGTGCAGAGAATGGTTGATATGTTTGTTCCTGGAGGAGAGAGAGGGAGAGAGAGAGAGAGAGAGAGAGAGATCAAAGGGGAAGGCAAGTGTCGATCGCAAGGAATTAACTTCCGATGAGTAATGGCAGGAACTATCCTAGCTTGTGCTGTCTCATTCTCATTCACTGCTACGTTGTAGGTGGAGCTTTCTTTTGTTCAAACCCCAACAAATGGCCCCCAAGTCAGATATGTGGATGATATCGAAGCAAACACCAGCAAACGGAAAGCAAAACCGAGAATCATACCACTGATGAGGTTATCCAACTTTTCAAAACCATCAAAGACATCACAGGGTAAAATCGGAGGAAGCTAGACTAGTACGTCAAAAGCATTCCAGTCGACCAACTCATGACCTCGCCAAGTTTCAGAAGTTCAAACTAAATTGAAGGATGAGCGCCCGTCATTCTTGGGACTCAGTTTGGTACAATCTTGGCCGTGGCAGCGCCCCTCGTATTTTTTACCTTTCCCTGCCACAACTCACAAGGCTACCTTGTACACTGCAGATCAAAAAGGCACTGCCCTGAAATCCTAGCCACGAAGGAATGCCCAGAGTTCCCCGCCCCTACTTGGACCATTGGTGTGAGAGCCTTACCCCAGACCAATGTTTGCCTAGTAATTAGGCGCAATCTCAGCCTCGTCCCGCGAGCCCAACGGCCACTTCATCCCCCCCTGCCAATCGCGTGAATCTCCTTCCCACAAATGATTGATCGATGTGTGTCTCATCTCAGAAGGTCACCGGAGCACGAGCAAATAACATTTGTTTCGTATTCAAGTTGGCTCGCGATGCGTTCCACAAATAATTCTAGGCGTTGGCTCAGACTGAGGATTTGAGCTTCCAATCTAAATAAGTACAACTATAAGAATGCGCCCGGGGATGGAAATAACTAAGATGTTTTTTTTCTCTAAATCACACTCTATCTGAAGACATATATCCAAAACTCAATCTTACCTATCACAATGGCCGAGAAAGCAAACCCTCGTGCGTTCACACCCTAGCCAAAGTGCACCATGTACTCCACTAACCTTACTACCAGCAGCAGCAGTTCCTACCTACGAGGAACAACAACAAACCGAAACCCACGAGCTTTCCTCCAGAGAGCTCCCTGCATATGCGCAACCTCCCACCGAACAGACGCCTGAGATCCAACCCCATCAGCCCCAGCAGACCTTCTACGCAGGCTCTCAACACCCGAGCGGCTATAATACTCCGACTCCACTGTATGCACTGCAGAAGACGCCGGCACCTGTCGATTGTCCGGCCTGTGGAGAGCGGAAAATGACTCGTGTGGAGGCTGAAACGGGCAGTTCAACTCAGTATGTGTGCACGGTTTTTTACAATAATGGATCAAACTAATAATTCGTTTATAGTGCCTGGGCCGCAGTGCTCTGTTGCTGCCTGTGTCTAGGATGTATTCCGTATATGATGTCGTCGCTGAAAAACCAATGTCATTACTGCGGAAATTGTGGTGTCTTGTTGGCTACATGGCATAACAGTGGACGGACGGATGTGCATCGGCCTGACTCGAAGAAGTAATGGGGATTTATTATGCTGTTGCCTATGCCTTTTTTTTGCGTGTTTCATGTGATACCACTATGAGTCTATATTACCATACCCTTGGATGTTAGTTGTGATAATTGGGAAACGTTTACCTTTCTATTGTCTGCGTATAGGCATGAATGTTTGGTGCTTAACCTATGGGAAATAAGCATTCTAACACAACATGTTAGAAGGAAACCAACCTCTAGGTCATTCTCAAGCTTACGCTTCTGCCTTGAGCTCTAAACTTAGTTGGTTTTGCGAGCTTCACATGACCGAAGGGACATTGACCAAGCACTTACTAGTACCTCTGCGCATACTCGCATGTGGCAGAATGAACTGGACATTTAAAACCGGGATCTCTATGGCTGAAGCACAAGTACCCGATTGGGCATTCCCTGAGGCGGTCGCAAGCTCTCAGTTAATATCTCGAACTGCTGATCATCTTCTGCGGGCCCGTTAATCAGCCATGATAGGGGCCGCATTACGAGAACTGGACCCAAGTGGGACCGTTTATTTCAGCCCTAATGGCTGGACCCTGGATCTTTTCTACAGTATAATCTTCTGGCGTCCAAGGACATTGATTCCGGAAGGATTCTTTGGCTCTTCCAAGCTCTTCCAAGTCCAGCGAATAGTAAATCCATGTCTCGTTGCATCAGCAATGCTGGGAAGGGGCCGATTAGATAAGAGCGCGGACCAGATGTATGACGTCAAGGATGTTCCTGCGGCAAACACGAGAAGGGGCCTGTTCTCTAGATTTTCTATCAACAAAGCTGGAGCCGTCACTTATGGATGAATCCTCGATTCTCCTGTCCACGACTCATTTACCCTGCATCCACTACAGCCGGGCACGAATCGGGAGGCCGGGTGATGGTAGAGAACCATGGCCGTGAAAGAGTGGTGACGCCAGCGGGACGAGCGGATCGCCAAACCTTGATCACAATTGATTTCATGACTGTCCCTTATGGTCAGGCATCGCGATACGCGTTAGATGGCATGCATCTTGAGGGTAAATCGTTAGGAATGGGCACTGAAGGTTGCGAATGACTTCTGTGTAACTGGAGGTGGGGAGATTACACACCTCCCTGTCCGGAGTGCTGCCGCGCCAATTGACTGCCTCGAATGGCTTCACTTCGAGCTGTTGTGTGTTGATTGACCCTTGAGCGTCCCGAGTTCGGCTTACCAAGTTACCCTCCTGTCAGAAATAAGCTTCGTGGACCAGCCCATCCAGCGTTGCATGCATGTGCCCTCCTTCACGTCATTGCGATCCTTGCTGTCATGACCTTCCGCTGCTCCCGATGCAGCCAGTCCTACCAGTAACCAGGGTTGTTCATCCGCCCGTCCAACTCTTCCCTTCTCTTTATTCTCCTCGTGTCATATCATCTCTGCTTCCCGTGTCGTTGTTCTCGCAGGTCGTGGGCATCCTCAATCTGTCTTGATCAGTCCTCGTTCACCGAAGCCGCGCGGTCGTTGTTCGTGAGTTGCACATGCTTTGAGGGGATTGGTTCTGTGTGGTAGGCTAATAGGAAGTAGATCATGGCCGCTATCGACCTCCTCGCCCTCGAAGCACGACACCAAGTGATCAAACGAAGCAACTGGGCCGGCGAGAACCCGGGTGTGGTCCTGGTCTTCTGCATCGTCTTCATCGTTGCTGTGGGAATCATCGCACTCTTCATCTACCGAAAATGCATGGCACGGAAAGCAGCTAAACAGTCATATGAGGTCGAAGCTTGAACCTGTGACTGATCCGACCGATGATGCTGTGATACGAGAGTATTGGAGAAAGAAGGATGGAAGGATGAAAAGGATACGATTTCGGGCTGGCTACGTCGCTGCAACGATCGATATGCACGTTCTCCTTATCTTTGTGTGCCTTTTGTCCGTCCGTCAAGGATACCCGCTCTTGCTTTTGGTGGATCTGGGCGCTGACGGATTGCGTTGATTTAATGGATTGCTTGGTCTGTGTTGGCATAAGGGTAAAGAGTCTTAGTTGGATGGGAAGAGAGGATATACTGAATACATACTTTTTAATTTTGCCAATTATATTATCCCAACTGGATGATATTTCAACACCTAGACTTTTGCATGGTGATCTCAAAAGAACTAACTGTACATTGCTGGGGACAAATTTGACTGAATCACCTAGAGTACTACTATGAAAGAGCTGCCACGGCTTGGATGGGCCACATCCGCATGGGACCAGCAGTTGCGCCAATGATGGGACTGCAAGTGGTCCTGATGGCAACGGATCTCGTATTCGGGTTGATCGTCATCAGCACAGAATAAGGTTCGTAGGGTAAGCTCCGGGTCTTCTTAAAGATTGACTGATGCGCTTGAAGGTCGCAAAAATATGTCAGATGCATGTTTCCGTAACTTCAATCTAATTAGTATTTTCCCCATAATAATACCCTGCCGCTGGTCGCACGGAAGGAGCCTTAGGCGCTCACCATTCAATTAAAATGCCCTCCTTCCTCTCTGTTTCATCCTTTGTGCTCGCTGCTTCCCTCAGCACCATCACATATTTGACTTTCCTCCACCGTTGTCTCAAAAACCGAATCCACCATGAGACGCATTGCGGTACACTCTCCAAATCGGTTTCTTCCACCATATCCACGATACCCTCCGAAGTCTACACACCAGAATACTATACTCTCCACGATCGAGCTAACCGCCGGGTGCCTCGCCAGCTGCTTCCCCGCCAGAAAGACGCTGAAATCCTGACCATTCTCTTGCGTCGCAACATGACAGCTTTCGCACACTTTCCTCAGTGCTATATGTTGTGGCTGATCAGCCCAGCCACAAAACGCCCAACGTTCCATACGTCACATATTGACTCGCTGGATTTCAACAAGGGCGATGTTATCTGCGGAATCTACCGTGTCCTAGACCGAACCGCGAACAAAGTCGAGTTCGGAATGACTTACAAAGGGGTGGATGGGCGATTGGTGATTCGGTTCTGGGATGAGGACAAGGACGTTGTTTTCGCCAGTGAAACTGCGATGTGGACAAAGGCGGATGAAACAGAGCGCGCCACAATGCCACTTGAAAACCCAGTGCTGCGGTTCTTTCATGAACTGGCCGCATGGTGGCTGTTAGATTCCGGAGTCAAATATCTGACGGACTTGGATGCAGAATTGGAGGATGATTGATACTCGAATTGAACCATCAGTGTGAACCATCAAGAGGGAAACATGCCGTACCGACTAGCTCCAAATTCCGACAGCGTTATGGCTTATGATTGGAATCTCCACAAGAACGCAATGGTATTACTCTCTTACTTTGTCTCCTCCTACGTATCGCGCACATATAAGCCTCCTTGAAATCCCTATGTGTGCAACGGCTTGAGACGTTCACAATTGCTCCAAATCTTCCAACGCATCCTACAAAGGCCAAATCCGCCTCAGACCCCAAGCAAACATTATGTGCCAATATACCTTCCACAACAACCCTGACTGTGGCCATATTGCAAACTTCAGCCTTGACATCTGTGTTGACATGATGAATGCAATGCGCGAGGGCACCAAAAATCCTCCTGACCACAAGGTCACCACTGTCCATGACCTTCTGCCGAAAGGTCCCTTTTACCAGTGTCGTCCATGTGAGGGCAAACTTGCCAAGGTGGACACCAACTGTTCAGACTGCTCCGATTCTGAATATGTCGTTTTGGAGGGTCAAAACGCAGGTGTCCCAATTGTGCACAGCTATATGGAGATGTGCCTCAATGAGAAGAATGCACCACCCGATGGTTGTGACAACTTTGTGCATGTGAACCAACCGCCACGACTGGGGACCCCTACCCCGGCACCGAAACCGATGTCTGCCAGCCAAACTCTGAAGATGAGGGATCTGGCTAGTAGTGAATCGGAGATCCATCCACCGATCAGCATGATGGAAACGCTGGAAGGATATGAAGATTTCCTGAAGAAATCAAACGAACAACTTCGTGCTCGTCGCCCGCCTTCCACCCCTATTCGCAGTCCAGAGTCAGGGAGCTACGGGGATATACCTGTTGCGAACCAATCATGGTATGCGAGTGACTCGGACACAGAGGCTGACCAGGTGCAATCTCCCCGTCCCCTTGGCTCTCCTTTCAGCTCACCACATCGGGCCCCACGACCAAAAGAAGCACCATTGCGTGTATCCGACTTGAATAGCCCACCACCTAGTCAACAGCCAGGCTATCTCAAGGCAACCCCCCGATTGACCAAGGCAGGGATTCAGGGCGAGGCTGCACCTGTTTACCGATCGAACGGTGCCACAACTCCGCCCAACCAGCAATGGTATTCGACGCTGCTTCCTTGCACCCCTTCTCATCTGATCATCCCCCAACGCTATTCTCCACCATCCGCACCGCGCAAGACTCATCGGACAGAATATTCGCAGTATAACCCGGTGGACACGTCGGGCATCCCTTTTCGCCGCGAGTACAGGTTGCCGCGCCACGATGTTCTAAATACAGTCCTTCAGTCCCCACCGTCGCAATATCCTGAAAGTTATAACAGGAGCTATTCAAGACAGTACTGGGGTGCCGTATCCGGTATGACTCCTGCGTGCGATGAGCGATGGTAATACCCCATCGATGGCAGTATATGGGGGTTCGATGATATCAGCAATTACCAAGTTCATATTTCGGTCTTGTTGTTGGTCTGATTTATACTATATATACACAAAAATACCCATGGATGCATGCGTTCTGTTTCACTGCTAATTGATTATCTTTCGGGGTTTTATGCGAAAGTGATGGCGATGATATCAGTGACAGGCTGAGCGACAGCCTGAGAATGTGATTTGGTGTTTCACCTTGAGCTATTGGTTCAAAGGGTTCGATAATATCTGACAGTCTGATTATTATTGATGTGTCAGTTTTGGTTATGGTTATTGCAAATGGACATTCAATCTATCAATTTCAAACTCCTATTCTGCTCCATTATATTCTTTAGATTAATAATCGCACTATGCTAGTAAGTAGTAGTCATGAATGAACAAGTAAACTGAAGGAATACAGTCTCTATCTAGTACAGTCTACGAGCTTAGACCCCGGAATACTACGCACACTGCATGAAAATAGAATGCAACTCCTGAATATTATAATAGATAGTATCAACGAGCTAGTAGCCATTAAGGTATTACCCAAAAACACCAACAATCAAACAAACAAATATAACCAATGATATCACATCACATCACATCAAATCAACTCATAACATCATAAATCATAACTCATGCAATAACCAACAGGAATATATCCCAAATTCCGACCCTACCACCCAACAAACAACCAAACCACAAAATCACGACTCAAGGGAAAAGAAAGACCACTACCACTTCCCCCGACACATCGGACAACTCGTCTGCCGATCACCCTCCAACGCCGAAGCTATCCACCGATCCATACACTCGCGGTGGAAGTTGTTTCCGCATTGCTTCTGGCACCAGACGAGAGAGGTGTCGTCATCAGAGGTATGGTTGTGTTCGGTAGACTCCTTTTGTAGAGCGCAGAGGCATATGCAGCAGTCGCCTTCGATGGGGTGGCGGGTGATGCCGCATTCTGAGATTGTGGGTGGAGTGGAGGTAGGGGTAGGCTGGGTGGTGGGTTCTGGGGTGGTTGTGGATTCTGGGGTGTCCGTGGGAGTAGAGCGAGATTCTTCGTTGTTTAAGGTAGGAAGACTGGGGAGTTGATGGCTTGGGGTGGTGGTTTCTGAGGTTTCTGTGAAAGGGTTGGATTCAGATTCTTGGGTGTTGGTGGATGAAGGACGCTCTTCACTGTTGGGTGTAGTTGTGGTATTGGCAGAATCGGTTTCTGCGCTAGGAAGGCTAATTGCTCTTCTAGTGCTCGTAGTGCTGGGACTGGAGCTTGCATTGCCGTTGCTTTGCTGGTCAGGGGATGGAGTAGCTAGCACATCGCTAGTATCACCGATCTCACCTACCCTGGACACAGAGCTCGGGGTAGCAGCACGTCGTTCAGCTTGAGCAGGAGTAGCTGGGCCATCGCTTATCCTCTGGACCCTGGTTGTGCTAACGATCGTGCTTCTGCGTAGTTGCACGTTCGTGCTGGTAGAAGTGTTGACCTGCAAGGTCGTCTCAACACTTCCTCCACGGGCATCCTGCCTGCGTGAAGACAGCAAGCCACTCGACACCGAGTCCCTCTGGAACCCGTATGCCTCATTGTGTTCCACCGTAGTAGATTCAGTCTCGACAGTAGGAGAAGGAGAGGCTCTTCTTCTCGCTTCCTCCTGTCCTCGGGCATACCCCATAGCCGCACTTCTTCTGACCATGTCTTCAGTGTCTCGTCTAGTGCGCTCTGCGTCTCTCTTCGCCCGCTCTTTCTCCCGCTCCGCTCGCTCTGCCTTACGAATTGCATCCTGCATCTTCCTTTCGAGTTCCGCAAGTCTATTCTCTATTACACTTGTTTCATCACGTATCCTTGGTGACGGTGATCGCTGAGGCATCGATCTACTCGGCGAGCTCATAGAAGGAGACGAATGTTTAGCGATGTATTCATCGACTCGAGAGACCCAAGTATTAGTTAGGCCAGCAGCTTGGTTCTGGTGATAATGTAGGCAGAGGACGAGAGGAGCCAACTCCTCCAGTACATGATCAATAGACCGGCCGGCTTTGAGCAAGCGGGTCCCTTGGTCCAGAAGGGAAACTGCATGTCGGCGGTTTCTGGCGTTTGTGGGGTTGCGGCAGTGACGGCCCTGTGAGGGCGCCCAGCCAACGCAGGGCTGGCTTTCTGGGTAGATTCCGAGAATGTCGGAGAGATGGTGTGTCATTATGTTGTGTGCCGGATGGGCAGCAAGGGCAGGCTGGGTATGCAGTAGACAACTAAAGGGGAAGCGCTTGCTCAGTGGTTGCGGTTCAAGTACGTAGGACACAAGCAGCGCAAAGAACAAAATTCTCTACCAAATATATAAGATGAGTTGAAAAGCTTAGAAGTAAAAGTCTATTGATTCCATCCGCCAGACGTTCTAGATGACGCCTTTATACCTCATGGTCCATGGTCCTTATCTCGAGATGGAGGGAGGCCATTGTGGCTGTTCACTACACCCTCTCTACCAGCGACGAGGCTGAGCAGCAAGCTAACCGTTGACCCCTGTTTGAGAGAAAGGCTGAGATAGCGACCACGCATGGTAGTTCGAGCGATAGTGCGACTGGTGGTGCACGAGCTACGGGGTTAGTGTGCATTTAGGGTCAGCGTGATTGGTGTTAGATTGGCGTTGGAACGATCAACTAAATATGGCTCACTCCCGGAGGGAAAGTATTTAGTATTTAGTATTTCAGTACTAGTACTAGTATGGAAGCGGGGGTGGATACCAAAAATACCCACCGCCTCTGGAGTTCCAGTTCCGAGTTGCTGCAACAATGGGATCATCGCGTCATTTTCTGCTCTTTCTTACTTCCCCAAAAAGATCAATTCCATTATGTCAGAAATTGTATAAATAATGCCTGGTTCCTGCAACTCATTCAGGGCATTCACTGTGCCAAATGGCTTCTTTCTCCTTGACCGCTGGTTTGTGTTTTTTTTTTTCCAATCTATTTAATACTCTGCCCCTGGCCTGGGTAGCTTTAGCTTGTAGTATATACTATACTATCATATCATTACTATCTCAAGACACCTTCCCGTCCCTACTTATCTTCCCAGAGGGTATAGTAACCTTCGTACCTTTCTCGTCGTGACTTTCAACATACTGTGAATGAGCCATGGAGCCAAATCGGTATGCTCGTTGCTATTCCCCTGGGACTTTCTCCCAACAACTCTTCTTATCTTGTTGTTGCTGACTGTTTTAAGCCCCAAGCGACACCTCTTATCATTACCGGCGGAGATCCGGATCCTAATCTATAAGGCGGTGTTTGATGATAACGATGTCTGTGAAATCCAACGCAGGCCCATTCCCGTCTGGTGTCCGGTCGACAAATGCTGGTATACAGCCCGGCGACAGTTCATGGCTGACCAGACGAATCGAAATAGCTGGGATGGCTTCTGTTCACATCCGGGTTGTCAAACAAAACAAGGCCAAACAGTCAGTCGTGACATCTACGTCGGCCATGGTCCACTCATAGCTTCCGGGCATTATCCTTGCCCCAAATCCCTGGAGAGGAATCCGGCGCTTAGTCTCGGCTTCCTTCGCACCTGTCGTCAGGTATACGAAGAGGCAAGACATTTCCCCTATAGTCGAGCCACCTTTTTCACCCAAGAGCTTGGCAGCTTTGCCAACTTCACCTATTCCTTGAAAGCATGGCAGGTGGCTTCCATAGCCCATCTCAGAATCCGGATTCCATTGGTGCAGAGCGTAGAGACACATCTGGCCGAATGGAACGAAACACTTTCTTTGATCAGCCTGGCGTTCCATGGCTTGTCTACGATTTCTGTGGATGTCCACTTCCGCTATGCTGAGCAAACCTGGAGGGACACCTTCTGGGATGGCGGACTCCTAGAATTGGATCGGTTAAAGTTGAAGGGCATGCAACTCGTCATCTACGAGGGGGAAAGAAACCCCAGACAATTCTTCGAGTATTCGGCGGGGACCCTGGCATCTGCACAGCCGAATCAGAAGGCTGCCACTCCCAACCCCATCAGCTTCCACCATGCCCGTGATACCCTTCGACAACGGGACCAGTCGCGCATTGATCCCAACGATACCGGTCGCCTATTTTTCCGCCTCTCGCCCAACGACTTCCCCCTCTATGTATGCAATCTCATCCACTTGCTTCCTCAGCGGCCTCGCACTGAAGCGGAGATCCGGCGCGAGGATAGACATCAGCGGGACTACAATTACCACTACGCCTATCCTGAGGACGACCCTGAACACGTGAACCCAATCTTCGGCTTCCAGTTCAGTGACGCTCTCAAGGGAAACAAGGATGAGATTGCGCGAGGGCTTGATAAGCTGCAACGGTCTCGCAAACGCTTGCAGCAGCAGAAGGCCAAGTCACCCTTACCTATGCCCTACAAGCCCAGTCGGAGAGGTGTCTACCCACAAAGTCGGAGGAATAGCCAGGAGTATCAATCCGACCGCAGTGATATGGGCGAGGAGATTGAGCGTCCCGGAGATTGGAGACGCCGTTTGGTTCAGGAAAAGTTTGCCCCGTTTATGGAGTCCTTCCCCTTGTCAGCGACCCGAAAATACCCCGGACCCCAGAGCATTTGTTTGAATTGCCCACGAGAGGCCACTGGAGACAGCGAGCATGTGAAATAAAAGTTTGCAAATAGTCTCTCACTGCATGTATATAGTGAAGACATGATTCATTTCCTTAATAAAGAAGCAATAGTCGTCTGTCCAAGCAGAGGACCTTGAGAATTCATGATTAGCAAAAAAAATCCGTATAGTACCATTTCCTCTCGCCCGATCCCCAACCAAGACCAAGCAGCGAAACAGGCAGACCCTGTGCCCCTGACACTCCTTGCTTGTTGCACAACGAGCAACTAACACCGTGATGTTGAGCGGTACGTAATGTTGTGGGGGAAAGGGAGGAATGGAGGAATTTCCCGTACGTAATGGCATCTGCGGTGGTTGGATGGGATGGATCCGGGATCAGTCATTCGTGATACTTACTTTTACTTACTCACACATACTTCTTGGGGAAGGTGAAGTGGTCAAAGTGGAAACAAATTGCAGCAGTTGCGGTGGAGAGAAGCCTGGTGGAGCTGCAAACCCATTTCAGGCGAGTGTCGTGATTTCTTCCCCATTTCTCTTTGTCATCCCCAACCGGGTTTAGCCACCCGGTCAACCTAAACCAACCAGTCAGAGAGACTTTTCTCGGCCACGGGGAAAATCAAACCTTTTAGGTTCATATGTCCGCCTTCAATAATTAATTAGTTGAGTTTTTGCCATGAGGGAAGCTCCTCCTGGTTACTAGTGTAATGCGGGCAGGTCACGGGTCGATGGGGTAAGAAAGGGGGTCTAGATGGATCACAACATCTCCTCTCCTCTTTGCGGGGTATTACGTTATTACCTCGGACGCTGGCGGCTTCTCCATGTCGATCTGCTGAGGTACTTACTTTACTAGTGGGTTCTAGACTAGCCCTGTACAACTTTTGCCTTGAAAATTCGATGCGTTTGAATGTCTGGGCATTAGCATCATTGCTGCTGCTTATGATTATATCCGTCAACCTTCTTTTTTTTTTTTTCTCATTTTCGTTTTCATTTTATTTTCTTTTCTTTTTTTCCCCTTTCTGTCTTGCAGGTGGGGCGGTATGGTAATGTTACGGTTTTTCCTGCAGCCTTGCGTAACTGGCCCTCATTGCCGGATTGGACTGGCTTTTGTGTAGTTCTCAGTCGGACCCAAGAATGGGTGAAGAAGGAGAAGAAGGGAAAAGAAACTGAGTGACCCTATCATGACTCAGAACATTGCAACCAGCCAATTGTTCAGACTTTTCTACTTAGTAATTAGTTATTGGTGGCCTTATTAGTCAGGTGCGCAAGGCATTTCCGGGTGCGGCCACCCAGTGACCTCAACATGACAGATTCGGGAGATCGACCGGCCTTAATGCGCATCGCCATAGAATGCTGTCTTCAGCTATTGTCTAGTATCCTACCCCTGGATGATTGAACGCTGTGAATAATTACTCTGATTCATCCTAACAATCATGGCTACCGCTCTACTCATCACTGGAGCCACTGGCAACCAAGGTGGTGCGGTCATCAATGCTCTGCTGGCGCGCGATGCAGACGTTGAGATCCTCGCCGTGACCCGCAACCCGCAGTCAGGAACATCGCAGAAGCTTGCCAGCAAGTCTCCCAAAATTAAGCTAGTTCAGGGCGACCTTGATCATCCGTCCGAGATCTTCGAAAACGCGAAGAAACTCGCCACTCGGCCCATTGCTGGTGTCTTTAGTGTTCAGGTAGTATTCAGCAATGTACCTTTACTTTCACTTACTTGCAGGAATAATTAACGCATGACAGAATCCTATGGCAAAAGGTCAAAATGTAGACAAAGAAGAAATCCAAGGGAAAGCCTTGATCGATGAATCCATCAAGCAAGACGTCAGACACTTCATCTACAGCTCCGTCGATCGCGGTGGTGATGCCTCCACCGATAACCCAACCAATATTCCTCATTTCATCAGCAAACATCACATCGAACACCACCTGTTTGAGCAAACCAAGGATGATTCCATGACCTGGACTGTCCTCCGTCCGGTGTTCTTTTTCGAAAACCTTGTCCCCAGCTTCATAGGCAAGGTGATTGCCACGGCCTGGGATGCCTACCTGCAGGGCAAACCGCTGCAGTGTGTTGCGGTCAGCGATATCGGGGTGTTTGCAGCCAAGGCTCTCCTCGAGCCACAAAATTACAAGAATCAGTGTATCTCTCTCGCCGGAGATGACCTGACATTTGAACAAATGCAGAAGAAGTTCAAGGCGAAGACGGGGGAGACGATGCCAACCACCTACCGGGTGGTTTGTTACTTATTGATGTGGATGGTCGCTGATCTGCGGATTATGTTCAACTGGTTCTACGATCACGGCTATGGGGCTGATATTCAAGGTCTAAGGAAGACGCATCCTGGCCTGAAGAGCTTTGAAGCGTGGCTGGAAGAGGACAGCGAATGGGTGAAGCGTTAAGGTGGTCTCACACTACTGCCCTCCATGATTACTTCTGAAAGGTTCCAAATTGGTAACACTGTCACTTGATGTATCAGCAATGTTTGTTGTACTACTACCTACTTCAGCTGCTGCCTGAACTGTACTTTTTATCTATCTGTATGGATACCTAATTTTGAATGATAATCCCTGGGTGGTTGTACAACTCAAGTCCTCATAACCCTCTGGATACGGGAGGTCTAGCCAATCCATCTCTCTTCCTACTTCCCGCGTTTCACCTCATCCTGGACCACTCTGCATCTTGTACTCGAGATACCTCCATGTCACATGTTGTCAGCATTCCCCTCCTCCGACTACTTATTTCCCTCCCTCCCTCCCTTCTCTTCCTCTTCATCCTTTTCCTACCGTCTTCCTATCTGCAGAGTACCCTTCTTTCATCACTTTCATCTATATTCATCTCTCTCTCCTTATATACTAACCCAGTATACCCAATATATAGTGTCTCTCACTTCTCATGTCCTCTATTCTTCCATTCTCACTCCTACCTACATTCTTCATTCCTTCAGCGTATTTCGTTCTACTTTCTGACTCACCCTACTCAATGGACCTCTGAGAATGCCTCCTCACCTTCCTACTCAGTTGCATCCATGTCCCCTCACAATCACATTAGAGAGAACAAAGACCAACTATGTCCTCTGTTTCAGTCGATATTGACCAGCCCGAAGAACATATGCTCATGGACGTGGGTTCATCCTGAAAACAATGGGGTGGAGACTGTCACACGACGGGGCTGTCAAATGTCGTATGAGGAATACGGCGATTCGGCTCTGCACGCAAAGGGGTAAACTCGGGATCAACTGCTGATGAAGTCAGTGGTAATCCGTCTCTTATGGATTCTGGTCGTGGTTCTTTCTGCCACACGTGATGGGATGTATTCTATGGATGCTGGTAACCTGGGAAGGATACCGAGTGGAGTTAGTCCGTCCTTAATGACGTTGTTCTGCATTGAGGCCATCCTTGCTAATGATTCTGTCTCGAAGCTGATAGATGGCTGGATATACATGAGCTGCACCATAACGCGAGTAGGATACGGAGATGCCCGAATCGAATCGGATCATGGGGCTACTTTACCATCGAAAGACCACTGCAGTCACAATGGACTGCACACGGTATGAACAACTCACACAAATGTGACTGCATCACCACTCGTTCGACAGCTTGCTTTGGTGCGAGAGGGGCCGGGCTCGAAAACGGACACTGGCGATACAGTCTTGTCACTTGGAGCACCTCATTCACAGTCATGAGTGATGCGGTGAACGAGGACGATGCTCGTGGATAAAGAGGATCCTGAAGAGAACCGCCTGATACACCACATGTACCCACTGAACATCACTTCTTTAATGCTGGTATTTCAAGATATTACGGGTTCACTTCCTATCAATTGGCCTGACTCAGAAGACTCATTCGATGACCGAAGCAATATACATCGAAAGCATGACTAGCTACAGCCAATTTGTCCGTTCGTGGTCAATGCCCATGCGGTGTATATGCTCGTTGGATGGATGGATGAGATGATCCGTGCAATTCAATTCTATGACAATGAAGACAACCAGCCGTGGTGGGCCTTTTACAGGGCTTCTCCATACCTCTTCTAGTGTGTCTGATATCAGTGATGGAAAAAGTCGCAAAACTACGTCAGAAGAGATCCGAAAGACAGTCGTAAAATGATCGAAATCTACAGACGTGATGCCCCCGAAAGCCAAGATCAAAGGCAGTGGCATTATAAAGAGTATAAGATTATGTTTCCAGAACATCGGCAGAACCCCGAGGATATTGATTGGATATGCTGCGTCTGAAGTCTGTTAATGAATGGAAGCAGAGTCTGACAATCAATAATCTGGTATCTGTTTTCCTGGGTCTTTTGAGGACCCCGATGCTTGAAACCCGCCGGATTGAACTCCCAATTGATGTGGAGACGATCTGGAGAGTATCGATCAACCCATGGACGATATACCATCCTCGATTCGACTGACTCAATGAAGCCCACGCCCTCTTTGAGCATTACTTCAAAGCTGCCCCACTTTTGAATCCAATCCAAGCCTCCTCTCCGTCCCATCAGACCAGATGCACCGACTTAAATCCACCAAAAACCCTAATGAACGAGAAAAAGCTATACTCAAGGCTCAAACGAGAATTGCGAGGTATAATCTGGGCAAAATGTCTACAACCCTGCTTTGCCGTACAATCAGTCACGAGAAGAAAGCCTGGAGTCATCTGAGGAGAACAATCCCTATGTACTCTCAGCTTCACCCTTGCATTCCATCCACACTACATCCCACGTCGTTCACCCGTGCATGCTAGTTCCTATCCTATGCATCTTTCCACATACACTATTGAGAGACTATACCCATCAATAATCAAGTACGAACGACCATCCAACAGGCAATATGGGAGATCATGGAGGACAAGCTCTACTATATCTCACATCCATTCCACGTCAACAGTGTCCACACCACCCTACCGTGTTATTTCAGCATCAATGAACCCGCATGACAGACAAAACACCACCAAGAACAGTCTTGCAAAACTGTTATATATTGTCTTAAGCGTACGTACGTACTAACTCACAAAGAATCCCTACTTTCTCGCGTTGCACCCAAAACTGACCATAATCCGCAGCCTCGTACGACATGATGGAGAGCTAGCACGCTACGTTAATTGTATCAAGTGGAGTATCGAATGAACGCAATATATGATACACTTAAGATAATAGAAAGAACCTTTTCTTTTGCATATCCTCTCTTTTCTCTCTGCTATATCGACATCATTGCGGGGGCAATCATGAGTGAGGGTATTATATTACAAAAAACTATATCACTATGTAAACATTCATTATTCGGTACATCTAGTCTTGTCTCTGAATACCCTGAAGATGTTGTTTTCTCCACCATGAAAGAACATCTCTTGTTCTGTCAACTACTTGATGTATTATATGGTTTGCATTATCTCACCACGCCAGGATCGATAGATCAGCCAGTACATTCACACTGAGCTTAGTATAGAGTTCAAGAATGAAGCGATCTTTGACGTAATGAAGTGCACGATGCCTGTTATTGATTGATAGACTAAACCAATAGGAACACTCATTCAATCAATTCCAGCTCAAAGCCATGCATGCTCTGCAATGCATTTATAGTATAGATAGATAGATGATGAAACGACATTCTAGTAACCCCGATAAACGCGTGTAAATATGGTATGGTGTGGTTTAACGAATTACCCGAGACCCCGTCCCGCTAAAATAGCAATAAGCAGCATGGACCATCAATAAGCGGATGTGAAAACCAATACTACCCTCTAGGGGGTAAGTTGCTCCGCTCCAAATGAGGCACGTAAAAAAAAGAAAGGAGAAAGAAAATGCAGCGAGCGGCTAATATAACGCGAAACACCAACATAGCTTCAAATATACCCAAAACCGTGGTTATTCGAGGGAAAGACAGTTTCTATAAGAATCAAACAACAACGCCTCGCCGTCTCCAATACCTCCACGCAATCAACCAAGCCCCAATGGCTATCCAGACGCTTACCGTACATCCCACGGCCCAGAACCCAAAGCACCTCCAGCCATGACATTGGCCGTCATTCGTGCCGTTTCCGTCGTCCATGGCGTCCTGGTATCCTTGCGAATACACTAATCCCCAGACGGCTGCTCCAGCGGCTGGAACCATTGCAACGATACCCCAGTTGGTGGCGAAGTTCTCGACGCCCCAGACGACAGAGATGATAATGGGAACGAGTGAGAAGGCGCTGCCGTAGCCGAGACCGATCAGGGCCGTGGTGAGGTGGGTAAAGCCGGGGTATTGAAGGGGGATGGGGGAGGAGAGAAGGAGGTAGCCGATGGAGAGAAGGAAGGCGGAGGGGAGGAGGAATGCAAGGCGGGTGAAGGTGGTGCGGTTGGTCGCCGATGCGATGGAGGCAGGGCGACTACTTTCTAAAGGACCGGGGAAGAGATGGGTTGCTGGCGGGGCGAAAAGATCGGAGAGCGAGCCGGTGAGAAGTCGGGCAATGGTGGAGGTCAGCGCGATGGTGCTGACATGGGTTGATGGTAGGCCTGCAGGTGACGAGGCGTTTGTAATATTTGATACGGGAGTCAGGGATTGGACAATAGTGCCCAGCTAGAGAGCGACTCGGTCAGCTTAAGACAACTCAGTATATTGGACGCAACATACGTTATTGATATAAGCCTCTCCTGGTCCAGTGACCAGGAAGAAGCCAATCGCAAGCCACCACATTGACTTGTCCTGGAGGAAGATCCTCGTCTCATAGTTCAGCAGCCAGTTCTTCTTCCGACGCTCTTCCTCCTCCCTTTCCTTCTCAAGTCTTGCTGCTTCTCGCTCCTCTTCTGAGAGTGTGAGAGTTTGGTCCCCATCGGATCCGGTGCCGTCGTCGGCCTGCGAAAACGTTCCATAAGCAGCCCTAACTTCATTCCTGGGCCGGAAGAATTCGCTCTCTTCAAGAAGGCCACTGCGCTCCAACTCCTCTACTGCCTCGTCGATGTACTTGTCTTCGTTCTCATCCACGATCCTCAGAGCAAAGGTGCCAATCACACCAATGCAGAACAACAGGATCGCGAGGAATAAGAAGTATTTGTACACGTTGACATCGCCACGAGCACCATCCTCAAGTCGGTCACACAGGAAGTACGTTCCCACCTGGCTCTGCCACATGCCACTAAGGCCAAACCCGGCGATAGGAACAGCAAGCATAATACCCTTATGCTTACCCCTGCCAAAGTTCTTGGCGCATGTTGCGACCGCAGCCAAGTACATACAACTTGTAGCAACGCCAATGGCAATGAAAGCCACGATCATCACCCAAAACGGCCAGCCCTCGCCACCTGCATCAGGAGGCGGTCCACTCTTAAAGGCCAGTGCAGCCAGCAGGTAGCCAGCCCCAAACACGAAACCAGAGAATAAAGCCAGCGGAGATGGGCTGTACCGATCGCAGAGATATCCAAAAAGCGGAACAGGTAGGTACATCGAGACTTCTGCGGCGATCGCAACTGCATTGACACGGAGTTGAGTGTAGTGGAGGCGAGTGAGTAACAGGGGTCCGTATAGCGAGAATGCGGTAATGCTACCAGCTCCAAGACTGATGACCACAATTCCAATTAGCCAGTTGTCCAACGAGGATGCGATCAGCGCATCCTATCACGCACAAGAGATCTTACCAGCTGATAACTCCCCAAGCAAAACTGCTAACCCGCACCACTTCCCTGGCCATCTTCTTTCTATCCCTTTCTAAGATCTCGTCGACAACATCATTCAGGAGACCATCGTCATTGTTGGTGGCCGATAAACATGACCCTGCCCGTGACCGTAGGTGTCCTCGCTGCTGCTCATCCGCCTCAGCATCTGCATCATCTAGTAACGGGCGATGAGCATCAAAGTCCCGCTTGTCGATAGCTGGGTCTTGCTTATCACGGGATGGCGTCATAGTGTCTCCCTTTTTGAATAGTGATAGCGCGATCTGGATGAGGACGACTTTTCACAGATTATAAATCCTTCGAGGGCATGAAACGGGCAATAGCTGCCTGGGTAACGTGTTTCGGGTCCGACCAGGGGAAAGATAACAGTGTGCCTGGCAAGATGGGCCTGCCTGTGAGTTCTCCGCAAACTAGTCCTCCGCAAACGGAAATCAGAAGGCAGCAAACCAGAAAGATGAATCAACGCGAGTATAAGGGAGAGACAGAAGTACCATAGGCCTTCAACACATCAAATAGGACCTCCCAGATATCGAAACTGGGAACCAGCAAGCCCCTGAGAAGCGTGAGGAGAAGGGAATGCGGAGATGGGCTGCTGACTGAGTGACTGACGAGGCGATGAGCCAAGCTGCGATTAGATAATAAGCCGTGAGGCGATAACCACACCGCTTATCGCCGCTATCACGTGGCTTGATGCCTGAAGGCCTTGGGCAGCACACATATACTATAGCATCGTTATGCTGGTTTGACTTTGCAGTCTACGGCTGAACTCTTATTAACCATTATAGATATTCAATTCTCCTGTCCCCGGTCTAAGCTCAGCGCCTATAGGTATGTACACACAAACACAACTACCGAACAACACTCTGTGGAAAGAAGCTGGGAAAAGCACGGATTAAAAAGTCCCCGGGTATCGGACCAGTCCCCAGGAGGTATAATCAGTAACACATGTCCGAGAAAGAATAAAAAGCTTGAAAGGAAGCAATACCGGCGCACCCTTGCGGGGGCCAGGCCAAATAAAAAAAAAAAAAGAAAATCAGTTTCATACACGCCATGAGAATGTAGTGGCCCCCAAGCAGAGACCTTCTATTATGCGCCCGGCACGGATAGTAAGGTGTCTGTGGTGAGCATCATGCCATGATCGTTCGTCAATATCGTAATGTATGTTGCCGAAAAACAAGTTGTAATGTCACCCATCTACCCCCGTCATCGTAATCGGTTAAAATTATTCAGCGTGGGTATAGCGATGGCACCGCGAGATGGGAAGGGCCAAAGCCAGCTGTGTTTGGTTGGTATGCAAGTTTGATGCCACATCCCGTGAATGCAAGAAGAACTTGCCATGTGGACATTAGGGACAAAGCAACCCCGGTCCCTCCGGCTCGAAAGCCCGAGGATCGAAAAGGAGTGAAGGCAGGGATAAAGCAGAATACAAAGGCGCACTGAGTTCCGACCGTCAGAGATTGAAGGAACCCGGATCTAGAAGCTAACCTCGCCAGGGTCAGTCTCCAGTACATTTTCGTCCCAATAGCGCTGAGATGAATCATCGCGGTTGGCGTGCTGGGAGCCAAGCGCAATCGCTTCCCCTTCACCTCTTTCAACGTAATCATCTTCGGTGATCTGTTTCAAGATGCGCTGGAAGTACATCCTAAGGGTTCGTAGGCCCCGAAGATAGCCACGATCAATATCATCTGGATGCTGTGGAGGGCAGGGAGCATCAGGCGATATTTCATCCTCGCCCGTAACGCAATTAGCGAAATCAACTATCTTCAACTGCACGTCCGAGTACCCATCATCTGAAACCTGGCGTTGTAGAGTGTCTCGCATATTGGCCGACCCGGAGGGGCCATTGTTTTGAGATGATTTGTCGAGATTATGGGGGTCTCCATCGTAAAGAATCAGAAGACTGCTGGCATACAAGCGATAGCGCTTGAGCTTCCGAATCATGTTTTCCAGCTTGGCCAGCTTTTCGAGAATGGCGGGTATCTTTTTCGCCACACTTCTGTAACTTGCACCATCGTAGAGAAAGCGAGTAAGAGCATCCTGGAATTCGCGCCCCGATTTCAAGTCTCGTCCAAAGTATTTGTCCTCAAAGGAGTACTCTTGCTTTTTAACATTCCACGATTGCATGCCGCATAGACGAACGCCTAATTGCTGGGACGTCGTTGACTGGCACTTGCGTCTCTGTGACTTGCGTTTCTTCTCATTGGCCTCGATTCCATACTGGCGAGTCCCCATCTTGAGGTCCAAAACACATGGTTTGTTCATGCCCGCAGTAAGATCTTCCAGCAAGAGAAAGAATTGCACTCGATCGTCTTTCCTGGTCTGGGCCTCTTTGGGGTTAGAAGGAAGTTGCGCATCATCGACATTATTGGTGCTGGGTCGGACTGGAGACCGGGAGAGGACATTGTTACCCACGCGGCCATCAAGCTGCACAGAGTCCGCTCCTGGAACTTTGGGGGCTACTGGGATTGAAGAATTCGTGGTATGATGGGATGGTGGAGGGGCCGGATTATCGCCCTCCATTGAGAATATCCCATCTTCCTTATCACCCCCGTAACCTTCATCATCAAAAAACAGCAGATCGCCTCCCGGCTGCCCAGAAGTCATGCTTCCTCGTCTTTGCAACCCGCTCCCAGATCGGCGCCGCCTCACCTGCCGAGTCCTGGATAACGAGCTGGAACGTTGGGGAGACTCTTCGGTCCGCACTTTCTCGAGACGATTGTGGCCCGCATCCAGTGCTGTCGATGCTGAAGATGACAGACCCGGTCCGTCACTTGTCTGCCTATTGATATCGATTGCCCCGGACTGTGTGGAGTCAGGTTCTTCAGGTATAGTCCTGCGGCTGCTGGCCGTATGGTCTTCCGATAAATTGGCCCTCCGCCGGATTTCAATGCCATCTGATGACGTCCTCGGTAAATTGAGATGGCCTCGAGCATGGCGACGGTGATGGTGCACGGCAGGTGGACTGAAGACTTCACGCAGAACTTGCTCTTGCAGCTTCCTGTTCACAGTGGTGGCACCCCATTGCTTTTTCTTCAGGGTCTGTGACCCATCCAAAAGGCAGCTCTGAGCCTCTTCGTCTCGCAACTGCCCGAAATCCCCGGGGAAGCGCCTATTAGCTGATAAGGATCCGTCAGCAGTCCTTGGGCGCTGGCCGCGGGAGAAAAGATCGGCTGGGATTATATGACGATTGTTCTCGAGAATGACTTGGGGAATTATGCCGGTCACCTGCTTCTGGCTGAAGATGCGTTGCGGTTCGGCGTCATTCTTTGTAGGGCTGCGGGCATCTGCTGCTGTCACTCCATCATTGTCCGCATTGTTAGTAGAATGTATCGCATTGCTACTATCAGGGCGTTCCGTGTGGCTCGCTGGGGTCTTGGATCGCTTGGGAGTTTTTGAAAAGGTGACATTCAGAACGCCAATGTATCTGGAGGACAAGTTAGACAAAATCTGATTGAACCAGCCCTGCAGGCAAACTGCTTCACCGCCATACGTACCTAGGCAGAAACATCAGCATCTCAGGATGCCTGCGCTCGATGCGCTCATAAAACTCGTTTTCCCGGTTGTTGAGTTGCTTGCAAACAGCGCGACGGGAAAACCGAAAAACGGTTGTATGACCCCCAACCTGATGGCGATAAGGCTTCAACTCCACAGCCCCAAGCGGTCCAGCCGGTTCATGCTTGTGACGCGGACGGGTCAGACGGGAGCGCTGAGTCGGGGTGGCCGTCGGCGTCACCTCAGCCTCATCCGTCACGCTGGACTCTTCATCACGAACAGACATGCCGCTCTCGTCGGCAGACGCGGGTTCGGACTCTGTTGAATATTCAGCAGGGCGCTCGGGTATGGAACGAAGAGACTCTTCATTAAGTTTGTCTATGGGAGCATCCTGCCTGCCTTGCAGGTCGCCGTGTAGGATTCTACTATCTTTCTTAGATCGAAGGGATATGTCCACATGATTAGCTTCTTGCTCCTCAGGAACGACTTGTCTCTTTGGCACCAAAACGTGACTACTCTGCGCTGTCGAGATATCAACGGGTTCCACGCTATCTTGGCCATCTGTAAAAGGTTGAACCTGATCGACTTCCTCAGAGAGAGTGACGCGCTCGTGTGGGAAATAGACAGCAGACGAAATTTGCTCATCTTCCTCTTCCTCGAACTGCCCCGAACCACGGCGTTGCTCTCTGCTCGCGTCCGATGGAGAAAGACGTGACTCGACATGGTCATGCAATTCGGGTGCCTTGGAGAAGTAATCTCGGTTTCTCTCCGCATATTGGGTTGGGATGCTCCGTGAAAACGAGGTGCCATGACCTCCCCCGGGAGTGAGATGGAAGTTGCGAATCTCCTCGAGCAAACTGCGAGGTAAGGCCCTAGGCTGGGATTTAACCACATTGTCCGTTGGCATATGCGGTCCAGTTTCGCTTTCGGCGCCTGGCGTGAACGGGGGAGCGTCAGCAATAGAAAGATGTGTAAGGCTCTTGGAACCTGTCAACCCCGTATCCTCAGACACGGGCGGGATATGCAAATTCGAGTCACGGCGTTCGCCGGAGTAGCGAGGTTCTGAATGAGCCGTCAATTGCTGCTTGTCGTGTGGTTCTGGCAGCTCATCGAGTCGACCCGCGCGCTCTTCCTTGCGTTTACGATCGGGTGATGTGGTGTTCTCTTTGAACAGGCCCAAGTAATGGCTTGACTTGCGGCTGCGCACATGAGAGGTCGGCTCCGCATTGGCCAGATTTGCTTCGATAGACTGCTCTACTCTGGCCCGGCGGCCCCGACTCGAGCTTCGCTCGGGTTTCATCGCACGTGCGCCGTCCTGAATTTGTTGCCCGGACCATGGCTGAGAAATGACTTCGATGTTGGTAGCCGGAGATTTTTTAGTAGGAGAGCGTGTTGCGGCATGGGACGTCGCCAAGGAAGCATCGTTTAGAGAAGCGGAAAGAAGACTGCGATGAGGCGATGGATCCTCCGCAATGGCAGACTTCGTCGCAGCATCGTCCGGCGCAAATTTGCGAAGATGTTGCAGGCTCTCCCACACTGATGTATGCGAACCCCGTCTTGGCAACTGGGAACGCTTCCCCAAGGTCGCATCAGAGTCCACCGGCAGGAGGGGGGTAGAATGCGGGACTGCCGATGGAAGCAACGAGGGAGAGCCTAATGAATGCTTCCTGCGAACGTCAACTTCCATGTGGGAAGGGCCGACGTGAGTAGGACGGGGAGGGAGGACCTTGTGAGGGGAAATCGGAGAAGGAGTGGAAGAAACATCTTCGAGGGGAGGTATCAGGCTAGCGGGCGGCTCATTGTGCACATCTTGCACGGGCGCAATTTGCGGTGTGACGGCGGATTCGGTATCAGAAGGGAGGTAATGGGTTGCAAAAATGCTATCTCTCTCGGACAGCTGAGGGCTATGCGATCGGTCTGGGCGGGAGAGCCGTTCCACGGGGACGGTAGTAGGCCTTTTTAGAGTAAAGGTCGAAACAGGCGTGGCCCATTGACGAGCCGTGGGGGATTCAGCGCGGGATGGGGAGGGAACTTGCTGAACGACATCGTCGTGGATGAGCTGGCTCCGAGCGTCGTGGTGGCGCTGCTGCTTGTCGTGAAGGAGTTCAGGCCCGTCGGAGCAATCATGTTGGGCAGACGCGGCAGGTGTCACCAGGGGTCCTGACCAGGTATTCTCAGTCGCAGATGGAGGCCTTGACATGGGGAGGACATTGGTCGGAGCTGC